TGTATAAAGGACATAATAAATTGCTTCCACCAATTATCCAGGAGTACTTTAGGCCACTCACGGAAATGCATAATTATGCTACCCGACAGCGGGAACATTTCAATTTTTGTATTAATTATAGGAGAACTACACTAAAATCAATGTGCTTGACAAATAAAGGGGGTAGTCTATGGAATAGTCTACCTAGCAGTATAAAAGATTGTAGTAATACTATTTTATTAAAAAAAATATACAAAAAAAAAAGAATCTATTAGGTAAATATAATTTAGATATATAAATCTGTGTTTATTATTATTTATGCTCAAAAGAAATAAATATTTTTGTCATTGTCATTGTCAAAGCCAGAATAAACTATTTAGCGTTTCTAGTTGTACGTTTACAACAACCTTCTGTACACTTTCTTAGGCGAAAGACCTGACCAGAATTAGCCTAGACTACAGAAATATATAACGAGCCATGCATAAACGTTGGCCTAACTTTTCGGGTGTCTAGGTACCATGTGGAGTGAATTCGTATGCAGCGGATGCGACCACCCAGGGGGAAAGGAGGATAGAACAAATTAGACCACAGACGGACACTACTACAGGGAAAATAATGCAAAACGAACGTGTTTATCAAGTAATACCACCAAAGGTTACTAACAGCAACGAGCACTAAGATGGTAGAGAGCGACACTCCCATACTCGCCGTTAGAGGGCGAGCAATACTACTGCCGCTACTCATAGATTACAGACTTTTAACTAGCAAGAAATATAACAGGATCCAAAATCAAATTCATCGGCGTAACATGGCAATGAGATCAACCTGACGGCGTGCATGCCAACAGATCACCAATAAAGGGGGTGACTCATTATTATAAAACAAGCATTGGCATTACAATAGTTATGCTTGTAACTATTACCTCCGCCAACGAAGTTAGCAGGAAGGTTTATATATTTAGTTATTAACTTGTCTGTCGGCATATTTTTTGTGAACAGACTACAGGCCATAGATTTTTTTTTGTTTTTTGTTTTTGTTTTTGTTTTTTTATCAGAAATGAATAAAACTTGGTCGCAATGTTCATTTACTTTAGATCTAGAGCTGATTACATTTTGAAGGATCAGGGCCAAAGGTCAAGTTTACAATCAACGAAAAACTATTGTTTTATTTATTTTTCTACAGTCCATAGTTTTAATCACAAATTTGTCAAACATGGTCACAAGTCATTACCCCTTCCAACGAAGTTGGCAGGAGGCAATGTTTTTTGCCTCTTATTATTTATTTATTTATTTATTTGTATGTAAGCACATTTGTTGTGAACATCATAGAACCCATAGTTTTTATCAGAAATTCGTCAAACTTGGCCACAATGATCCTTTACCTAAGATCTATAGCTGATTAAATTTTGAAGGGTCAAAGTCAAAGGACAAGGTTGTATAATAACAAAGACCTATTTAAAAAAAATGTCTACATCCCATAGTTTAATCAAAAACTTGTCACAACGTTCCATGACCAAAGATCTCAAAGTATTTGAATGTTGAAAGGTAAGGGTTAAAGGTCAGGGTCACATTCAACAAAAAAAAGACAATTTTGAAAGTTTTTATCAGAAATTTGTCAAACTTGGCCACAATATTCCTTTACCAAATAGCTGGAAGTGACTAAATTTCGAAGGGTTAGGGTCGAATGTCAAGTACACAATGATCGAAAAAACTTGTATAACTGTTCGACCGTATACACGTGTGTGTACTTTTATGGGCTTGCCGGTAAAGTGTAAACAAACATAGGCATATGACTATTAATTTCAAAGTGATATACTGTACGTTAAAACAGTTTGGTGTAGTGGTTAGAGTGTTTTCCACACTACCTGCCCCGGGTTCAAATCCCAAGGTGTTTACTTGTCTTTTTTTTCATTAATTTTTTGTGGAGTCAATATGCGGTGGAAATACTGAGGAGAATTATAATGTGGTCGGAGATATGCACTCTGCGAGAGCCCTTTATGTTTTGTTGTTATTGCACAATGAATACAATAATCATAATCATAATAAAATATTCCATAAAAAGTATATTATCTAAATCATTTTTTTTTGTTGGATGTGACTTTATAACGTGTACAAAACATATGCATTTTTGTGTTGATAACCAAACAAACGAATGAGTCTGAATCGCTCACAATCAAATTAAGCTTGTTCAAAATTACTGAAAAATCAATTTTCCATAAAAATTTGACAGTAGTGTTTGGTCATTTATTTTTTTGTACCATAAAGACAATGGCTACACTTTTATTAAAATATCTCATAAAGAGTCCATTGGCCAAAATATTATGTTTGACTGATTATTGATCGAACCTAGGGCTGATGTATGCGGCTTAGTGTGCAATTTTAAAAACCTTTAATACCTCCTTGCCTAGAAACACCGAGTCTAGCTTCAAATAATTGCTTTAAAATCGAAAAATTAACCAAAAACCGATTTAATAACAGTATGGTATGATTAATATTAACGAGTGTCCCTTATTCATGATATATTTCATGTGTAAAGTCACTGTTGTAAAGTAATGTGTCGTTAGTGTATGTTTTTATTGAGTAATTTCCTACATGATGCGATGCATTCTTTGTATTCATATTCCTTGTTTCTTGTGTAGGATCGTAGTTGCATTCTACATCTGTTGGCCTGGCGTGGCTTCTCACAAGAACTGGCAATGGCGCTGAAGACGTCACGGAAGAACGTGAATTTACAAGACTCGGTACGTTTAAAAAACAACATATTATTCATCATAAAGACTGAAATGACAAACTGTTATCATAAAATTATTTAACTAACCATCACAAACATTATTATAATGTCATTTTAATTTTTATTGCTTTTGTATTATTTATTTGTTAACTAAATGTTATTTTTACAGATTGTGATTCTTTTTAAATTTTTTAATTAATTTCATTATCTATTTTAATATTTGATGATCATTATGTATTCTTGTTCCTTTTGATTATAAATTATATTTTGTCAATTTGTAATTATAAAATGATATATGTTTTTATGGAATTGTCAATATTATTATAATCATTTTATTTTTAGAATTTTTATTGGGATTTTAATTAAGATAATTATAATAATTTGTTATATTGTTTTATATAATTATATTTTCATTATTATGGTAAATTGTACTTAATATTTTTTATTTTTACCATTCCATATCATAGAGGATTAGCATATAATTTCAATAATACAGCATATGCTAAAATATTTGGATTTAAGAAGAACTATTGATAATAAGATGTGTTAGTGAGATTACAGTACTTTGACCGTCATCAAAATTCTCTTGTCTGAATTATTCTCTATAAATATTGATATTTGCGCTCAAAATTAAATAAAGTCACAAACTCTTTGGTGTATATAAACAATACTGTACATTTATTGTCAAAACCAATGTAGAAGAGTGTAGAGGCTTTATTAGCTAAAAGGGTGCTATATACGTACGCAACTAATCCACCAAGAACTGGTGTCATACCGAACTAATTAATATTCATATACACAGTATATTAGGGTGAACACAGCAGTCATGCGTATTATTCTCTACCTCCCCCAGCCTTTATGCAACAAAGGCTATATACAGTTAAACGGTATCAATGCCATAGCGGATAGGCGGACGACGATTACGAGATCAACGTCGCGGACCATTATCACCTGAGCGTGGCATAGTGTCAGTGCTAGTGGGTGGAGATGTGAAAGGCTGGGGTGTTCCATGGCTAACAGGTGGCGGAGGGGTTGTTGGTGTTGACAGAGTAGGTAAGATCACTAGCGGAGATCCTGGCGAAACTGGAGATCTGGAAGCGTTTTGATCATCTACCGGCGGTGTATCAAGTGCATTCCGAACTGGCGTAGGAGCATCCCCTAGTTTCGGTTCCTGTCTCACAGGGAGGAAGCGGAGGTCATCAGTGATCATACGTCGGCGCTCTGGTTGGTATACCGGGATGTACTGTCTGAGGAAGCGTCTGTTACGTAGTGTTATCCTACCAGAACCATCGACCCTAACCATGTATTGATCAAATTGGCGCACCTCAATCACCGTGCCTGTCTTGCCCCACTTAGTGGGATGTGGGCCTGTTTAGTTTTGAATTCGAACGAAATCACCTACGGCCAAGGCTGGCAGCCGACGTGTATGCTGGGTCCAATACTCAGCAGACCTCATGTGGCGGTTTCGTAGTGCAATCTCACGATCTGCCATAGTGCTCCTCCACGTTGGGTGTGGTAAGTCTTTACCGTGTAGAATTGGTATCTTAATCGGACGGCCAAAGACACACATGGCAGGGGAAGTTTTGGTTGCTGAAGGATCACTCGTTGAAAAGCATCGGTGTCCAGTTGACCATGTGGACCAGTATTGTTGGTGACCAGGCGTTTAGCGGTCTTGACCCCCACCTCTGCTTTACAATTGGAGTTCGGAAAAGCAACTGACAAGCGGTGATGGACACTCCATTGTTTCAAGATGTCTTGAGTGCTTCCTGAAGTAAATTCTGGGCTGCCGTCCGAAGAAACTTCATCGCAAACACCAAAGGTCATAAAAACTTGACGGAGTGAAGTAATGAGACCATGGGCACCATCTGACGTTCTTTTGATAATCGGCCAATTGGAGTATCTATCAACGACGACCAGATAGCTATTACACTTGTTGTGGAAAAAAATCAGCACATATGCATTGGAACGGGTGGGTAGGATACATGGGTGGATAAGGTGGAGCTACTGGTTGAGACGGTGTTGCAATGGCTGCATCTTTCTCTATAAGCCTGTATATCTAGTCACGCAGTTGATTGGGTAGGTCATGACGTGACTGAGGCATTCCTAACTTAATGATGGTAAGTAAGTTGGCCATGGTGTCGTCACTATTAGTCTCAAGCTTAACTTTATCCCAGGTGATGCACTGGAAGCTATCCAGGGCCATAGCACAGAAAGCAAGTAGCTGTTGATCGACGATCTCACATGCGACAACAGCATCAGGATTGGTGATGGAGAATCAGTAGAGCTATTAGTAGTGTCTGCATTGTCAATAAGTTCCATTGGAAGAACATGTTCTCTACCACTCGGATGACGAGAAATCGTGTCCACCGCTCGGTGACGTGCTCCAGGGATGTGCACCATTCAAAAACGGTACCGAAGTGTGTTCTCTTTTAGGTTGCGTAATCTACCGTTCGGGATGTCTTCCAACGATCTGTCGCCAAATAGCTTTAATAGTGGCTTATGATCAACATCAACACCGTGACAGCCTAGTACAAAATAACGGGCTTTCTCAAGACCATAAGCAACAGCCAGCACCTCACCTTCAATGGGAGCATAACGTGACTCAGCCCGTATGACAGCAGAATTGGAAGACAAATGAATATTTGCAATGTTTTTGAAGAAGCCAGAAGCCAACACCAGTCTTAGACCAGTCCGTAGCTATACATGTAGGTCGCATTTTCTCAAATATTCGAACACCCTCCTCGATTTCACTGACTATGATCGCTTTAGATTCCTCAAATAATTGTTTCAAACGATCATCCCATCTAAATGGCGTTCCAGGTTTTAGGAGTTGGCAGAATGGTAACATGCGATCAGCCACTGAAAATGCGTAGGCGAACTGGTTTACTAGACCAAACCAGGACCGTATGTCAGAGATGTTCTGTGGGGTAGGAAAGTCGGTAATAGCATTCAAGTACTTCTGACATAGACGAACAGTGTTAGGCGAGATTTCGAAACCTTGCTGCCTGAAAGAAGCTCTGCTCCAGGGTGTCTGCCCACAAAAGCGCATCATCAACATACTTAGTTTTGTTTCGAAAATCTGATATGATTTCATCACACCTGCGTGTATACCCATCGCCTGATGCGATGTAGCCTTGTGGTGTAGTACAGTAGCGGTATCTTCTCCACGGGGTAATAAATGTCTTAAAGTGCCGATCTTCATCTCGAAGGGGAATACTATGGTAACCGTTCCATGCATCAAACACAGTTTTCTTTTTTGTGAGCAGCCACCAGACGAGCTTGATAAAACGGTGACTGTGTATGATGAGTTTCTCGTGTGGCATGTGCATTCAATGACTGCAAGTCCACTGTGCGTCTGGGCTTGCCATTCTTCTTTGCACAGATAACCATGCAGTGACACCAAGTGACCGGTTCACCAACAGGAACAGGTTCAATAATCCCAAGTCTGACATCTTGGTCGAGGCCAGCTTTGACTGCTTCTTGCCAATGAAGAGGAACAGGAACAGGTGTATGATAAGCCACATGCTTCGCGTCCGGATCAATCATCAATTTCATGGGTGTCACCTTCAAACGAGGGAGTGGTTGATGTTCACAAACATTGAATATGCTGGATCCGTAATATTCTAGGAGAAAATTTTCAAGGCGCTTCCGATTTTCCTTGGTGGCTTCACAAGCTAATTGCCTTGGTAAGGGTGGCGGTGCTCGCCTGACAGGGCACTTGCATACTCGTGTGTCGAGCTCATGGACCGACAGATGTTCCTTCACAGATTCTATTGGCTTTGGTGTCTCGCCTATTGTTGGAAAGGATTTGGAGATTATGCCAAGCGCCAGACATGCCTCTCGACTTAAGAATAACTTATCTGAGCTGTCGGTCAGGTAAGTTATTTGCCTGGTAGTTACTGTATCACCTGATGTGTCTACGCCACTATATCGGAGAACTGCAGCACCAAGTATTTTAATTCCGACGTTATTGGCAGCTTTCATTTGCATAGACACTGGTATAAGGTCTTTGTGTTTCATTCTTAGCCGGCGAAGTATTCCGACACCTGCCAAACAACTTTAACACCCGGTATCAGCCATAACTGAGACCCTGACCTTTGGAGTGGCCACCAAACGGCGATATCCAAGTGCTTCATAATCTTCCGGGATAGCCTGTAGTGTTAGTTCAGTGAATGGGTGTGGTCTTGCAGGTCTTCGAATCCAAATGTCACTTAATTCGTGGTATAGATGATGGTCGATTGTAATTACCTTAGGAGATTATGATGAAAGGTTGTACACAACATTGTAGTGCTGCTAGCATCACCTTCATGCAATGCGGCAACTCTCTTCTTCGATGAAGATCGGCATACTGACTCAACGTGATGCTTAATACCGCATTTTGAACACGCCTTACCATAGGCAGGAGAGGACTGTTTACGTATGGGTGGGGAAGCCCTTGATCCATGCCCCTTATGTCCACAATAGGTACAGTTGGGATCACTATTGGCCATTGAAAACTGCTTTTGCTGTTGACGGTATGAGCTACTAGCTGAAGCACTTGCATCTATAAGACGGGTTGAAGAACGTTTTCCGGCTTACTTTGCCTCAACATATGATATCACAGCTTCCAAAGTTATGTTTTGGTCACGCTCACCTCAAGAGATCAAGTTGAATTTCCTGATCGGCAATGCCACGAATAACACATCTTTCACCATCTCATCAGAGTAATAGAGGTCAGTCTGGCAGGTAGTACATTTAATAACAAATTTACAGACCGATGCTTGTCCACGCAGAAGTGCAGCAAATGAACGTATAATGTCATCTCTATCTTGGCGCATGTCTTGGAGAGTTACACGCGCAACCATGATATTTTACTCTCTAACAGCAAGTTTTCGTATGCCCGCAATTATCTCATCTTCCGGTTTCTCGGTCAGCATGTCCCCGGTTGAGCGTATCAGATCTCTCTGTTCGTCACATCACTGCAGCAATTGAATGATTCTTTCCTTGCCAGTAACATTGGTGGCACTAGCATACTCCTTCCATCTTGAAAGGAAGTAACCCCAATCTTCACTGGTCCCCGCTGATGTGATCGAGGGCCATTTAACCCGTTCAACCTTAGCCTGGCTTGAAACTGTGTGTGAGGTAGCATGTGCAGTTAATAGTGCAGCGACTACCGCGTCTTCTAGTCCATCCGGCATGGTGTATGGGCATTCCTCGATTGGACAGCTTACAGCAGGCATTGTAGTCGACACTCTTGTACATAAAGTCACAAACTCTTTGGTGTATATAAACAATACTGTACATTTATTGTCGAAACCAATGTACAAGCGTGTAGAGGCTTTATTTAGCTAAAAGTGTGCTATATACGTACGCAACTAATCCACCAAGAACTGGTGTCATATCGAACTAATGAATATTCATATACACAGTATAAAGGGTGAACACAGCAGTCATGCGTATTATTCTCTAAAAATGTCAGTTATGCCCTTTTGCCGTAGGTTTTATGATTCAAGACATGTTGACAAACTTTGGCAAAAGGATATAAGTACACAGTTTAGTTCCTTTCAACGCAATTTTAAGTCAAATTATTCAAAAAAAAACATTCAATATATGATTTCATATGTTAATCATGTATAAACTACCAAATAAATGTACAATAATACCAAAAAACGCATTAATAAATGCTAAAATTACAAACGATCAAAAACCCAAGTATAGGCTAACTAAGTATACAAACGAGAAAGAGAATTAACATTAGTATGCTGTTATGTATCAACAAAGCCTTTTTGGCTCAAGGTGCTATATCGAGGACCCAGTGGGTAGGGGCCTTAGTGATCCCCATGGGTCAGGGGCCCCACAAAAGGGCGCATAGGCGTTACGCCACTGCGTGAAGGATGCATGCGTATGTGAAATATAACTGCTGTTTATTTAGAATGCGCGTGTGACTGTTTCCATTTGTACGTAAAGCAAGCATTACAATTATTTTAAATTTTAGTTACAAAGTAAACTAATAAATATATATTTTAAGTCTTGTAATTACAATATATAAATTAGGCCTATTATTATTATTATTATTATTATTATTATTATTATTATTATTATTATTATTATTATTATTATTATTATTATTAGCATTAGCAATTCTACTCTATGATCCAAATTCAAGTAATAATAAAATTATTACGAATATTTTTGTTTTTATATTCTAATAAAATATTTAAAAAATATTTTATATATTTAGATTTAGATAGAAAAGTAGGTTGTTGTTTGCTTAGTTAACACATTTTATTGGAGTTAGCTGTGAAGTTATACCTTTTTGTTATGCCATTTGCTATAAATGAACGTTGTAGTTGTGCCTCTTTGCCACAGTTATTTGCAAACTAATCGTTTTAGTTGTCCCTCTTTTTACTGTTATTTCTAGTTAAAATGTGAATTGGTATTCTGCCATGGTTAATTATTTTCAATAAACAGTTATTATTTTTCCATAGATTTATTTGCATAGTATTAAACTACATGCCATTCAAAGTAAGGCAAGATTATTTAGCATAAATTAACTAGACTTACCATGTTTGCCTAATATTAACTAGACATATGCTACTGTAAAGAATCTTACTATTTAACCAATTTCTATTTTACAAACTGTGAGTACACAAACAGTAAGAATAATAAGAAAAAAAAATTAAGCTTAACATGCGACTTTCATTGTAACTAGGGAGAAAGCTCTCTTCTGATTGGTTGACTGTTGAAAAAACGTCACGCTTCAGCGTATCACAGCCTATCTTTGCAGTTATGCCCTTTTGCCTTTTGGAATTTATTGAAAATTGTGTAGTTATGCCCTTTTGACATGCCTCGATCTAGCCCATGGGACACTTTTTTACAATTTTGTTTGTGTCAACATGTGTAACATGATGTACTGACCCCACTAGGCTATATAACTAATTTACGCCAAAAATTTCAGTCATGCCCTTTTGCCATTGGGGGGGGGGAGCAGTATATTGGCTAACAATATATAGTTATTGCTAGCATGACATGTCAGCTCAGTTTATGTATATTTTTAACAAATTATTATAAATTTAAAAGATTCCAAGAGAATGGCGTGTAAGTATAACTTCCTAATGTCCAATCAGGAGACAGAAAAGTTTTAATAACAATAGGGGAATTCAAGTAACTTCCATCCAGTGTTTTGAAAATCTTAACAGATTTATTTACTTATGGCCGATTAGAAACAGTTAACTACTTTCTCACTTTTACAAAGTAGACACATTGACAGTGGCGGCGATAGCATCTGGGGTGGGGGCAAATGAAGGGCAAGGTATGATTTTTTTGGGGGGAGGGGGGTAAGTTCCCCGACGAGAGCAGAGTGAGTGTGGTCGCGTGTCGATTAAACTGTTTCGGATCCCTCGGAAAATGTGATAATTTAGTGGTTTCAGGGAGATATTCAATCGACTCTAAATAGACAATAGTCTATTAATATGTAGAAAATACATATATATTTTTTCTCAATGACGAATTGTTTTTTTCTACTCTTCTGGAGGGGTGGGGGGAAAACTGGGAGATACAAGTTTTCTAATGGGAATTTTTCTCCACCCCTGTGGCCGACTGTATTGCCGCCACTGCACATTAAATGCAAATAAGCACTAGATATGATTCGTGTCATAGTACATTGAGTTTTAATTTACACTACTACTGGTAATAGTTCAATTGAAATTATCACTGGAAACATCTCCCTATCCACGATCGAGAGATTTCTTGTTTTCTTTCCTGCATTACTATTTTTGATGTATGTTGCCTAGGTTTCTTTTTTTTTTTTGTAAGCGGTAGAGGTAAATGCATAGTTTGGGGGGGGGGGAAATAAGGGTACTTAGAATATTGTTTCTGCTAATAAGGTGTTTAGTTTTCTTTTTCTTTCTTTCTATTTTTTATTCATTATCCTTTTTTTATTCATTTTCCTTTGTCATTTTTACTACTTGTAGAATTTTTTGTTTAATTCGTATTATATATTGTATTTACTTTTAATTGAATAAGGGTCACTAAGTAGATTGACATGACTATTGAGAGGCATTATTGCTTATAATACTTTGATGAGGGTGGGTATTGGCTGGGGGTGGGGTGCTTGTCAAATGCTTGAGTGACGGTTACTCAATTTATACTTTGTTTTCTTTAGTGTATTTTATTCTGTTTGTAGTATTATTATTTTTGTTTGGACGCACCTTTATCATGTGAAGTGTGCCACTGTTTCAAAAGTTTAGTTTCCCAATAAATTATTATTATTATTATTAGAGGAATTTTAATGATGTGAGCCATATTTTCGTACATTTCGCTAAATAAAGAAAATAAATTTATTTTTTAAATGGTGAGCAGCGAAAATGGATGCGGGAGGTGACAAGAAACTAGTATTTTTTTTATTACTTGGCCTTATATGTTGTTAGGGAAAAATGAAAAGTGATCTTTATTAATATACTCCATAAATTGTAAGGAATTGTTTTACTGCCGTATAACCTGCATTCCTTAAAAAGGTCAATAATTCTGACCAACTGTCTTCGGACCAATAGGCTTTCGGACCAAAGACCCTTCGGACCAAGGGCCTACGGACCAAAGACCCTTTGAACCAATGGGCCTTCGGACCAATGACCCTTCGGACCAAAAGTACGCACCCGTACATTACCTTGAAAAGTGATTGGTGCTTGTAGCAAATAATAAAAAAATAAACATTGTGGAAGAGCTAGGCCTATATTAAAAACAGTATTTAATCAAATTTTAATTCGTAGTTTTACATTATATTTATCTTGCTATAAATATATATATATTATATTATTTAGGATCTTTATTAATTGTATTGTTTGTTTAATTGTATGCATAACTTTTATTCTTCACCTTATGTTTTTCTAATTAACAAACTGAGATGATTGGTTATTTAATATTACACATTTGACAGGTATTAGATTTTTAAATTCAATTTTTTCGTTTTGCAATAATGATTAAGTCACATTTTTAAATTTCCTCTGTTTTTCTTTAATCTTAAGTATTATAAATTTTTATTATATATTATTATATCTTCTGTTTTAAATTGCACTTTCTCTAAGGATGGATTAACTAGTTTGTGAGCTACAGCGATTTTAATTGCTTTTGTTAATCATTGCCTCCTTAGATTTTCAGTTTTAATCTGTATTGTGAATTTTTATTTTACTGTATGTGCAAATTGTAATGTGATTTTTTATAAAAAGCTAAATAAAGAATGAATGAAAGAATGAAATAATTGAAATAGAAATTGTATTATTTTTATTACTCTGATACATTATTGTTAAAATCTTGCCAATTTAACGTAATAATTCTTTAATTCACCTTATGTTTTTCTAATTAACAAACTGAGATGATTGGTTAATTTGACACATTTGACAGGTATTAGATTATAATTTATTGTTATTCATTGTTTATGTTATTGTTTTTGGTAAATAAAAATGTGTATCATATAAGCTAGCTGCCATTGATTACAATCTTTACTTGTTGTTATGTTGCAGGTTGGCAACACTCCACTTCACAAATTGTTGGAATATGATCAGGAATACAAAGTTCACGAGGAGGGAATCCAAACATTGTTACATGCTGGAGCTGACCCGAGTCTATTGAATCAGGTAAAATAAATATGATATGTAGTGAGCAATTATCCAAGAAAATAAAATTTTATTTTGAATTCATTCTCAATTTTGTTCCAAAGTTAATCGCATAGTTATGCATTGTCTATTTAAAACTTGAAAATATTATGATTTTGATATGTTTTTACAAAAATGCATTTAATATTGCCTTGGATTGGATTGAAATTATTCGGTGTGAAAACCAAGAATAGCCTACGAAAGTCTAGAAGAAGACTTATTTCGAGCGGGGTCCTTCTGGTGGTGATTGTGTACACCAGGAGACAATCCCCTACTCTTTTCCGAAGAGTGTACTGCGTTCTTTAACATGCACACATGGGCCATAAATGCACATGGACCAACGGCTTAAACGTCTCACCCGAAAGATGGTGCGCTATTGTAACTTGTAGGCTATTTCAGCCCTCCAGCTGAAACACAATGAGAGGCAGAGATGGAAATTAAACCGGCGACCTAGAGATCTCCACGGTTTTGCGCACACACAGTGGCTACCACCAGTCCAGCCAATTTCCAGTGGAGTTTAAAATTACATATTAAAATGCAAAAAAAATCTTATGGAGATAAGGATGAGGATGATAAGGTGCGTGGAGGAGTGCAATGATGACGATAAGGAGAATGATGAAGAGGAGAATTTAGTCAAGGGGACAGGAACCGAAAAGGTGCACCCCACTGCTGTCATCACTTTTTATTTTATAGTTACCTTTTTGTCTGAGCTTCAAGAAATGCCTTGCATGTCCTAGTAATGCAAGATAATGTGCCAAAGTTTGTGTATCCTAATATTACAAGGGAATGTGCCAAAGTTTGCATGTCCTAGTATTGCAAGGGAATGTGCAAAAGTTTGCATGTCCTAGTATTGCAAGGGAATGTGCCAAAGTGTGCATATCCTAGTATTGCAAGGGAATGTGCCAAAGTTTGCATGCCCCAGTATTGCAAGGGAATGTGCCAAAGTTTGCATGTCCCAGTATTGCAAGGGAATTTGCCAAAGTTTGCATGTTCTAGTATTGCAAGAGAATGTGAAAAATTTTGAAGAACTATTCCTGATCATGTGATTAGTTCTATAGAGGCAATTACATGCCAAAAGTATGGGTTCAAAATCAACGAAGAAATGCAATCCAACGATAAACAACTGCAGGCATCAACGTTTCATTCAGAGATTGACCCTCAAAAAGCAAGTTCTCAGCACAGATGTTGGCATAGATATCAGCCTTCTGCCTCCTTGCAAGTCAAGTCTACAGCTTCACAAAAAACTGTGCAACTTCTAAACTTCAATATGGCGAATGTCGCTGGAGCAATACCACCACCTATCAAAACCTACCCTACTTAGATGGATTAAAGGAGCAGATGGTGTGAACTTCCAATGGACACACCAGGAGATAATGCCAAAGGACCTTGCTTCTATCGTAACTATGAGCAACCAAACTTTGATAGCAATGATGATGAGAATTTTTAGCCACGAAGATGATCATTTTTATGCTTCTGGTTCTGATTCTGAAGATAATTAAGAGTATTTCTGATGTTAACCTTTACAAAACTTAATCATGTGTGTACTGAACAGCTCTTCTGACACCAGAATATAATGCCATATACCGTATAAGGTAAATATCCATTTTATTATGCATAATATGGCAGGTAACTTTTTTTATGGAATAATCTACTCAAAAGTAAAAATACATGTTACATTTTGTCTGTTCAGTTTTTTAATGCATGAGTAATAGCTGTATATAACGCATTATTTAAATATTTGCATTTTAGCTTGACCTTTAACCTTACACTGTATCAACGAATACATAATCAAATGTTAAAGTTTATTGACACATTTTGAAAAAAATTTCCTACATTTTGGTGTTAAATACATTATATATGTACAATTTACCAGAAGTTATGACGATGTAAAATACCCATATCCCCAAAATATCCCACAAAAGTACCTATCTTTGATATCGGTTTACGGGTACTGGCAACCAGAAATTGCTTGAGTAACAAGGTGTTCCTTGAGCCTTATACATATAGGCAACTAAAAATAATAATGACAGATATAAAGCAGGGGGGGGGGGTGGTACAGGGGGTGTTCGCAGCTCTTGGACTAATTATATACATGTAGATAATAATTGCATTATATTCCTATGATGATAATGATGAAGGTAACGACGATGGTAATGATAGTGACTATATTTGTCACTATCATCACCACCGTCGTTACATTCATCTTATGCTGCAGAATGCTGCAGTATAGGTAGCATTGCATTGAAGGAATATCAACAGCACTTGATGATGAGATGATGATATGGTACATGTTGATAATGAGGAAGCAGATGATAGTGATGTTGGTTTCAAATGTGCTTAGTGATTTCAGTGGTAGTGAATAAGATGATTACAATTTTTAAAAGTTTAAATAATAACAAAAATAAAAACAAAATTCAAGTTGCATATGGTTTGAATTACAGTATTAAAAAGCAGCAATTGCTGATGATCACTTATACAGAAATTGTAGCGCAATATTAAAGTGTTTCCATTGTTTACAGGCAATGTATTCGCTCTAATCAATTAATGTGTCAACACGTTACGAACTAAAGAAGTGTGGCATATTTTTTAATTATGTTTTGCTATCACTGTTAATTAGTGTTACATAGTATAAAACATTACGTATGATTGATATTGATTTAATTCATGACTTTTGATTTATGATTGCTGTTACAGCGAGGTCAGACTCCAGCAGATATCTATATGCTGAATACATGTGAGGAGTACTATGATACTAGTAGGGCAGCGCAGAAGGATTCCCTTTTAAAAATATTACACAGTAAGCAGTTCATAAAATTGCAATATTCATTGTAATCAGTGTTGAGTAGTTCAGTGTAATTTTATTGACTTCTTCAAATTAATTGGATAACTTATATTACTAATAGCAATTATAAGAACGGTAACAGCAAAAGCAGCAAAAATAATAGGTTCAAAAACATTCATATGAATCCATATAATGCACACATCCTGTAATAAAAAAAAATAGTAAAAGCAACAACAATAAAAATTTCAATAATAATCATTTGAATCAATATAATGCACACATTGAAGCCTGTTATTAAAAAAAAACTTTCACAAAACAACAAATTGATAGCAATATTTAAAAAAATCAGTAATATTGATGTGATTTTTTTTGTCCTACTGGTATAAACATTGTTTAAAACCACACATCCCATGTCCTTTTTAGATAAACAATTTTTTCATAAATTTTACATAATACATACATTCGTTGATTTGTCGTTAAAACATAAAAGAAAAAAATTATATCTTGTCTGTCAAATTATAAGGACAAAGTTCTTTTAGCAATATGTGAACTTTTAATAGCTGTTATAAATTTAATAAACATTGCATTCACAACCCTTTGAAATTGAATTACTTATTTAGTTATATAATTCCTTTGTTAATAAATATACGAAATTATGTTATTACATTGCAAAGCATTGTCCATTTAAACTGTGAATATTACTATGATTTTTTTTAGTCAAAATTTAAATAGATCAGTTCTTCCTCACATCGTTAGTTTGCTATCACATTTTACTCCGTAGGCCTATGCTTTATTTTATACTCGAAAATTCACAAAAAAAAAAAAAAAAAAAATCATTTTACTTACAAGTTTTACTCCAAGACAGTACATCATTTTTGGTTTTACAATTTACACTTAATTATCAGTAAAAACATCATCAATAACAGCATTTATGTTTCTATTGCCAGTGTCTCAACTCGCTCTTGTGCATCTCGTTTCCAGCTTTTGTGTCAGGTCTGTTGTTTGTATGAAGACACCGAAATTCAGTGTCCTTTATCCAATCAGACAGACAATATTTTCCATTCAGTTTCTGAAATTCAAATTAAAATTAGCAGAGGAGCCCTGGAATACACATCAATCACAGCATATGACGTTTACAGATTATGCGTTAACAGTTACATTAATAATAATAATAATAATAATAGTAACAATAATAATAATATTACTGATCATAATAAAATATCAGCTAATACTCTAATATCTGAGCGAGCAATACAGCGTTATAATCAAGGATTAACCATCAATTACGTACATTCTAATAAAATTTATAATATGATAATCAATAATAAGATAAAACAAACTATAAATTGATATGCTAAGTAAAATCTATTAGAACAAAGCGTTAGCACACGAATTCTTTATTTACAACTTACGGTCTGTACTGACTCCTGAAAAATACATAAACTCGGCTTTCTTAGCACACTACCGTATATACCTTCTTATTTTTAGCTATCGCTGTTCATAGGGCTATTTCCAATTTAATATCCACTGTTTCGAAAACTGGAGCTAACGCTCCTAAATGGCTTATATTTTCCATGTGCTATCGTACTCAAGACCCACTCTCATTGAGTCTCTTCACGGATCTGCCCCTGAATTTCAGATTTCCCGGCAATCCGTATCATACGTTCTTACGCAAATCATGGACCTATTAATTCCGCTCTCTTGTGACACTGCGAAAACAGTAAATACCACACCTAGAAATATGAAAAACAATTATGGTAAGGCTAAAGTATGTCATCCTGTTTGTTTCATTTTTTTCCCCTTCTCCCAAAATTTTCAGCAAACAAAGGATCGGACCAACAAAGCGGTCAATTTGGAACACCGACTGGTCATAACTAGCACATTATTCCGTTGCAGCTGAAATATGTACGACAAAACACGTGTTTTTCATAACGAACACATTTTTCAAGCATTCCTAACCGTGTTATTTTGGCCAGTTTCTGCCTTGAAAAAACAAATGGTATTTTTTTTTGCTCAGCAGAAACAAACCACAAGTTAGCGCCTGGCAGGTAAGAGCGAGTAAATCCGGTTCGAAACTCTACTGAATTGATTTTGTGTCGACAATAATTAGACCTCTGATTAATTACAAATATTAATTAGGCAGATTTCAGACTTTAAAGCCCCTTTCACAAAGCCCCTTTATAACCGAAAGGATCTTATAGAATGGCGTACTATTGACGGTTAAAAACACAAAGGGCGACATTTTTTTGTTTACATTTTTGTCAATATGGCACCTGATCAAGCTGTTGTTGTGTAACTGTTGCTTGGCTCTGTTTATGTATGTGCATTACAAAAACATAATATTCTTATTTCGGCTAGAGCAATTTGAAATATCATGTTTAAGGCGAAGAAGATTGGAATTTCGAGCAGTTGAACAATGGCGACGAAAAATGGGAAGGGAAAAAGTTCAATTCCACCGACCTCAATTGTTTTAACTTCAACCTTATTTGTTTATGCATAAATGCAGCAATAGCCTGGTTCACGTCGAACTTTTATCTAGGTATACATCCACTTAACTAGACTAAGTTAAAAGTTCGACGTGAACCACTCAATTATAGCTAGATAAAAGGCTTAAGTGACTTAAGTTAAGTGACTTAACTTTACTAGAATAACGGTAAATTAACTTGCTTACCGGTAAAGTCGGCTCTGATTATAAGGACACGATTACGTAACGTAGGCATCTAAGCCAGCGTTGTTGTATTGTACTACCATATCATCTTCTGGCTGGTAACAAACGTACTCCAACAATGCTAACAACAGCATCGAAGTAGTCTCATTAGTCTGGTTTTCAGAAAATATTTGTAATATTATGGGTAAAAACCAAGCAAACGTCCGTTTTACGAATAGTCGATATTACTAATGACCTTTGCATCATCGACCAAGTAATAATGTTAAAAAGTCCGATTGCGTACATTTTTCAAAGTGATAATGTATATTTTTCTTAATAATAAAATCAGATTTGTTGTATTTATTTATTGACAATTCAATCTTTTCCATTTCTGCTATTAATAGTCGCTATTAATTCAGTTTCAATGAACTACCACCAACGCCAATCGTTAAAATGAGCGCATGTTTACGATGACGAAATAAAAAAGTGTGTTTAAGTCAGCAACTTATTTAACACCGCGAAGCTAGATTTTCGCGAAGTGCATGTAAAAAACACAATTGAGCGATCTAAACACTACAAAACAGGACAGAAAGGTCCATAAAGTATACAGATGTTTTAATGAAAATTAAAACAATATTTTGTTAAATGGAAGAATGCTAGCTAGCGATTAAAATAATTCGTTTTTTATCGAAGGTAAATTTAGCTAGTGCCTAGAGAACCTACTACAGTACTGTACTTAGATTGCGATAGAACACGCTGCTGCACTGTCGTTGGTTTGTACTGGTCGGCTAGGTTAGGTAGTGGAAACTCACACTTTCTCTAGCCTACAGTAGTTCACACATTTTTTTGAACGAATACCACTTGGTACTAGAGGTCGTAAAATACAGTAGATGTTTTATTAAACAAGCCTTTCCACCGTGTGACGTCGACGGCCCGCCCTGAAACTGGCTGGCTGTTTATCTGGCTCTAACTTGGCATCGAATGAAATTAGGGGATTATCGTATCATGTTTCAAGACGGGTATATCTAGATAAAGTTCGACGTGAACCAGGCTAATATCGAGTTAACCCTTTCGGACAAAGCAAGCTAGTAACCGCTACCGCAATATTGCAGCAATATTACTAGGTGCCCAGGTGGTCTACTATAGGAAGCTGGCATCTTGGCGAATCGACTCTTTCAGACAGAAACCTATGCTGGTGTGCTTACCGCAATATTGCGGTATGCAGCTCCGTCTGTAAGGGGCTTACAGTGCCATACTGTTATCTAAAGGTGCCATACTAAGTCATTAATTTTCTTACCTCAGGCCAAACCATAGTGGGCGATGAGGTGGTACCGACCCTCCATCTGTGAAAGTCCCTCCCTCAGCGCCTCTATTGCAAATTCCTACTGGATCCCCTAATTAAATCATTTATTTATAGAATTGGCGACCACAACCGAAGAGGGTCCCGTCTCAGAAAGCCACAGGGCCCACGCCCACAGCCTTATGCCACTGAGTAAAATAGATTGTAAGATACAAGTAATCCTGATCTATGCATGTATAACTTTCTATTTATTTATGCGATGTGCTATTGAAAATTTAAATTTTACATTTTAATCACCGAATTTTTATATTTTAGTAATCAATAACTGAAAATAACAAATTTGAATGAAAAAAACAAATTCCCAGTCAATTTTCGAAGTTAAACAGTAACACTTCTGTATTTTGCATCGATATTTTTTTTATATACTTATTATAAAGAATTGATTTTTTTTGTTTGTCTCTTCACTTGTTCATGCTTTATACTATTTTTCTTCATCAACAAACGCCTTTAATTCATATATTGAAGTCTAAATTTTACAAGCGACCGTTATTAGGCACTAATGAACATTTTCTTTACTTACACATGCATATGTACTCAGCTTATGTGTTTTTTTAATACACTCCCGCGCATTAAAGTTGAGTATGCCTCTGTCTACAAAATAAAAGAGCATAAGACCTGTTATGAAAAATATGGCAATACTTGACTAGTACCTTATGCTATTGAGCAGTAAGTGTTACAGTCGGGCTCCAATAAATTGTCAACTCTAGTAGTGCAGACAATTGGTTTTAACCTAGCACATCAGCTGATTTAATATGAATAATTTTATATAAGGAACAAGATTTTAATTTGAATTTCAAAATATTTTGATACGCTTTGATGAATGTAATAATTATTACATAATTGTATTTTTGTTAAATTATGTATATAAAACCTTAATTCATTATATATGCCTAATTGTATTTTTAAAACAATAATTAAAAAGGGATATCGTGCCCAGGTGTTGAAATTATGTTTGTCTTGTAAGTTGAATAAAGTATAAACCAGCAATATTATTTTTTTAAGAGGGGATTGTCCCAGTGGAAATATTGGCTCGCGGTGCAGATGCATTGAATGCTTTTAATAAAGCTCTGTCTGAGGGTAAAACAGAGGTTAACCAAGGAAGAACAGTTTTCGTGGGCCTTGAGAGAGTAGGAAAAACATCTACCATCAACTCATTTTTAAGGAATCCGTAAGTTAATTATAGTTTTAAATTTGTGATGTTATTACGTGATATAAAAATATTTTGTATACTTCCTTTACTATCTATACCAATAAATGTTATGCTTTCTATATTTCATATGTAAACTTAGTATTATTAAAGAGCTCAATAACATTTAGAGATATATAATTTTATTTTAGTTTCAATCAAAATCAAAACATTACTGATGCAATTGCTAAGACAATGGTGTGCACCCAAGATTTAGATGATGAATTCAATTGGACCGAAACATACAGTCAATGTAAGAAATTCAATTTTTTAATTTGTAATTTTTATTATTGCCATTCAAAATATTTTTTAAACAAAAAAAATATTGACATGATATTTTTTATTTAAATTCTATTTATTCAAAATAATTGATTTATACAAGTACATATAATAATTTTTTGTACTTTCAGCAGCTGATATCTTTGAAAATGAAATTGTATGTTCGATAACGAATCAATTGTTAGAGAAAGAAAACGAGGAGAGAAGGGAAGTAACACAAGGGAAAGTGAGATTTTAAAATTATTAATTATTAATATTGTGTGATACTTAAACGATAATATTAGTAATGACAATGTGAATGGTAAAAGTCATCTAAAGTATTTAGTTAAGTGTGTTCGGTTGTTAAGATGCTTTATTGCAATCCCAGGTTGCTAGGTTTAAATCCTGTGACACCAGGAGCAACTCCAGTACTACCTAATGCTCACAAAAAAGTTCCTCATAGTTTTATAAAAAATCAGTTTCATCCTGTAAATGAAGCATCACTTTGCTGTTTTGATAAGAATGACATTAAAAATCATTTTCTTTGAGGCTTTTAATTTATATCTGTTTCAAGGATGTGTTACCATCCGCAATCGAAGATGATGAGGCTGAATACAGGGAGGGTAAGCCTTCTCATTTTCTACTATTTCCATGTGAAAGACTATCTTCACCTTTTCTCATTTAAGTCATCAGTATGCAGCACTATTGTAAGTGTTTTTTTATATTATGTAACTTTTTAATTTTAAGTTTATTTTTTCATTAAGGACAATCATTATCAGAAGCCACCAGGGATACAGAAATTGAACCAGATGTTAAACGAAGACGAAAAAATCTACACACACAGTCAAATATTCCAGAAAAAATAGCCAAAAAGGTTCAGGAGAGAATAAATGAAATCAAGTTCACAAGAAGAGGAACAAGTGAGGAGCAAAAACCTGGCAACAACTTTATCATGAACATCTGGGACTTTGGAGGCCAGCCAGTGTACCATGTGATACAAAGAGTAATATCTTGACATTATTTAAGGAATTTAGTTTTTGTCCTTAGAAAAATGTATTTCAAATGTTGTTAATACTTACTCTTTTAAAAATTAGAACGAGATAATGTTTTCCTATGCCACTTATCAGCCACGTAAATAATACCGTTGCTATATTCTTTTGCATTTGCCCTTAAAACATTAGTTAATAATCATTTTATAAATATTGTAGCATGACACCTGTAAATTGATAACACTTTTAAATTGATCTTTTTAAATGAGCATTTTTTTTTTATTGATTTTGAGATGTTTACAGTCTCAAACAGTAAAAGTATATATTAATTAATTTATAATTATTTTTTGTAGATTTTTATGGTATCTTTTGCCATTGTTTGTGTTGTATTCAATCTAGAAGATGCCCTTGATGCCCCTGCCAGCGTCAGAGATCCAACAACAGTAAGCATCTATTCTTGTTAATATTTATTTCAACAACCAGGTTTTATATGTGATTTTTTTTAAATCAATAATTGAAATTAGGCTATCTTTATGTAGATCTATTCTAAATTTATCAATGTGATTATTAAAAATTGCCAAACATAGGCCCTACAGATGTTTTCTCATTGTCTTTATTCTTGATTAATATACACTGTGTTGTATTTTTTATACTTAAGGGTAATGTGTACCCACATCGAATGACAAATCTTCAGTTCATTCTTTTCTGGATTCGTTCAGTATACACACACAGTAGAGAATCAGATCTGAATGATGGACAACTTTCACCATCGGTAATAGTGATTGGTACGCACCTAGGCAGCCTTGAAGGGAATGAAGAAGAACAGAAAATTAAGGTAAAGCTTGAACACATAAAACAATACAATTATATTATTATTACTGTAGATAGATGTCCTATGGGCACGCACAAACTACTCACGGTCAGACCTAATGTAATCAAGGCTGTTAACTTAATTTTGGTGGTGTTAGCGGCCGCTTGATTGAAGGAACAGGTTTATAGCTGAACAGATGTTGAGATAGATAGATTCTTAATTTTTTTTATTGAACAATTTTTTTTTATAACGTTATATCATTATTTAATTTTTATTATTGAATGCTTCTACGAAAAGCTTTTCACCAAGTGAAGTGTATACATTTCTCATGTTTTACACAATGTACACTGGTTGCCTGTAAAGATATGTATTTATTTGACGTTAAAAGGATGTTAAAGGATGTGTTCCTGCCTACATCTTCAATCTTTTTTGCACCTTCAGTAACCCAACCCTTTGTTCATTCAGCCAACTCAACACTTTGTTCACCCAACCGACCCCACTTGAAACTACATAGTACTGTGTATCAAAACAGCATTTTCATAGTTCCAAACTTTGGAACATTCCAACAAAATAAAGTTCCAACATTTTCAAATCAAAAATCAAATGACATCCAACTGCATTTTCACAGCACTTGGTACAATCGCAACACTTGAAACCATAAACACACTATTATTATTGTTATTATTGTCATTGTCGTCGTCGCCGCCGCCGTAATTGCATTGGTATATTTGTATTATTATATTTAATGTCATTTTTTATAATAATAATAATAATACTTATTATTAGTATGATTAAAATTATTTTTGTAACTAAATACTACCATAAGGGGAACTTAGACAATGGAGAAATTAGAGAACAATTAAGAAAACCATGTTAAGGGAAAAATAACACAACTTTAAAGGGAAAATTAAATAAAAGAAATTCCTCATTAAAAGTCCGATTTATCGAAAGGTTATAAACCATGATTTATTTTTTGATATTTTTCAGGCCGAAGGATTATTCCGCAAAATTCAAGAAGCATTGAAGGGCAAACCTTATGAAGCAATGGTGTTTCCCACGTTCTTTGCTATTGAAAACAGCCTACCGTTCTCCAGGAGCAATGCTTCTAACATCATGAAGCAAATCTTGGAATTTTCGAAGAAGATGGTTAGAAATCTGCCTTTAAAATGGTTGCTTGTTCAACAGGAAATCCAGAAGTTGAAAGAGCGTATCTATCTACCAACGGAGGAGGTTAGATATTTAACAAGTTCCCTTAAATATTTAAATTTAGGATGAATTGTAGGAGAATAATTTGCGATAATTGTACTACTGGCTACTGAATATTACAGAGCATCCATCTTTCCAGTATGACGTGATCATTATACGATATATAATTATTCATATAATTCATCAAACGTATTAATACTTCTTGGTTGACCTAAATCAACTATCGTTATTGGCTTCATTTTTTTGTGTATCTCTGATTCTTGGCACTTTGAATCCTATGAAAAAGGGGCGATGCCAATGTGCATAACCATTACACTTCATTATTGATAAATTTCAGTAGTCCTATTTATCAGTTCCTTTTTTTATACTATAATTGAAATTACAAAAATTGACATTAAAATAAATTTGTCCCATTTGGTATATTTTGTGTTAGGTGATTGCATTAGTTGACCGGTGTGGGGTCAAACAAGACGCTCAAAGAGTGCTGCTTGAGTATTTACACGACATTGGCGACATCCTGTACTATCCTGATGACGAAGCCTTAAAGAACATTGTTGTGTTGGATCTGATGGGAATAGTTGATATGTTTAAAACAATAATCACTGTTATTGACCCTCAACTTATGGTAAGCTAAATAACTTCCTGTCAGTTTCTTCATTATCTAATAGTTATTTTAATAATAGAAACCACTTCTATATTCAAATCCACCAATGGGTATGCAGAAAAGAAACACAAACAAATGATCAACCAAACAATGATGAATCTTAAGTAAAATTGTCAAATACGTTGGCAGGAATCAGACAAAAAAATAATTAAAAATATCTATTTTGAGGTTGACCATGTAATTAAAAACCTGAAAGCTACTGTAGTAATTTCTAAAATATTTTCACTAGAAGTTTATATTGTAATTATTTTCTGCCAATAAAACAATCAAATAATAAGTAAATTCATATATTAAACAGAAAATTGTTTCATAAAATTGTAAAAAACATGGCACAGAAAAGTGTTGTTTGATATTGATTTGGTTGTGGCTGATGTAGCATAAAAACTGGTTGTGAAAAATATATAAAATTGTAAGCACAGGTAAGTTGTGAATCTTTGTATTTGTATTATTTTAGAGGATTATCGGTATGAATGAAAGTAATACCAAAGCTAGGGTGAGTTTGCACCCTAATGATAAGAAGCTTAACCACCCCTACCACTCTTCCTATTCCCCTCCCCAGTTTTTTTTTTACCGATTTTCCATTATATACCCTTTTTGTGTTATTATTCACAATGAAACACAATAGCCCATCTACCACAACAGGTCTGTTGGCGCCAAGATCGTCAGGCCCAGGTTGACCATCATTGTTAGCCATATCAGCCGATAGCGTCCCTAGCAGCCAATCAAGCCAAATGGCGCGAATTGCCTATATGGGGCTTGTACACAAAAGTCAGTAAAAATTCTACCAACATACCAAATCACAAATAATCAGATAATATAATCACTTTACTAAGCATTCATAAATCAAATGCTTTGTAAATATTTACCAATATCCAAGGGAAAATTCGGAATTTTGATCACATTTTTCTGACAGTACATATCGGACATCGTTTAGTCTTCAGTTAAAAAATTATCACATTAAATTTAAAAGGGCAATTTTATTTAACTTTCAGGATCCAGCACTAAAAGATGCCTGGAAAAAATTGAACTGTGGGATCCTAGAGGAGCGTCTGTTAAGACATCTCTGGAAGAGGTTTAATTTTTCCGATAAGACATTTGACTTCTTCGTATCTCTCATGCAAAAGTTTGGACTGGTGTGTAAGAAAAAGATGACAACGGTATTTTTATTTCTTCTGTTATTTTTTTTCTTTATTATATATATTTTATCGCATCAATGCAAAACTATGTAAAATTTAGAATTATAATGTTTGTGTATTTTGATTGTTTTGTCGAATATTTTGCAACGTAAAATGCTGTTTTGTTATCTTCTAGGATGGTGGACGTATTTTCTACGTCCTTTCACGTTTGAAACCTCAACGTTTAGATACATTGTCCACTGAGGCTAATGGGAAGAGTGCAGTTTCAATCTTCCACGACTTTGGTCGCTATCTACCGGACGATCTTTTCCAGCGTGGAGTAACCAAATTCATTGAGGAATTCCAAGTAGAAGGTCATGAACCTAAACTATCTTATGAGCATGTGGAGTTGAATATCGATGAAGATCACCGTGTCGTTCTGAGTGTAGCCTCCATTAAGCATCGTCGTATGTTCCAGGTAGGGCCTATACGTTACTTTAATCATCAATAAATTACATTGATGACCATTATTATAATTGTCGTTATCAATCACCACGTTCGTTATCATGATCACCTACCGTCTCATCATTCCATATCATCATCATCTTCATCATCATCATCATCGTAAAGCACAAAAATACACTGCGCCCTCACTTGGTTGTTGTCAACTCAATTTCAAACTTTAATGACCGGTAATATCATTAATCTATATATAGATGTTCGAAATCTGTAAAGATACAAACAATACAACATAGGCTTTAACTATGCAGCTCGTTGGCATAGCAACGGCATACTAAATCACTCAAGCGTGACGACTACCCTAGCGAGTAAGGTTGTAGTAACAGTGCGGTGGCCTACTAATGACAGAAGTTGAACAATTTTCTCTCACTCACAACTAGTAATTATATTTTAACTTGCCTATTCCGCATGTATACTGGGTATTTAACATTGTTAATAATCAACTGCCATTAACCATTAAGTGTTCATCACAATCAAAATGATTATATTAAACATCAAATTAACATGCATCAAATCATCAATGAACTACACGATAAGTTAAATCATGTTTCTTCGCTGGGCAACACAGCTATAGGCCCTATCTACTGATGAGTGAATGGCTGTCACAAAATACTGCCTAAATTATTATCGCCAACTCACATGTTAAACCAATCCTCATCTATTGATTCTACAATAATTAACTTTATGGAGATTAGAAAACTATTAATTGTCTACTCACTCTTGAGCTCTCAATAAGCCAAGCCTCTGTTCGCGTACTACACCAAGAGCTGTTTTCGTTTTTTTAAGGCGACTACGACGACGCAGCACACGTACGTAGGCCTACGGAGGGGAGTTAGTCGACCATGGTTTTATTAACAGAGAACAATGTTCCCTTGTTTTATATTTGTAAAAGGAAATGTGAGAAAAAACTTTAGTCAAATACTGTATACAAAATAAAAAGTTTCCAGAAAACACTGAGTGATGTTTCGCTGTTGGCTAGGATCTACCTAGGCTAGGCCTAGCTGTTAAAGAATCGTTAACCAGGAGAAGAGGGTGTCAGGCCTGCTCAGACAATTTGCCAAATGCAACGATGATGTACAAAAAAATAACAATTTCAAACAGAGGTATTCATATAGCAAGGCTTGATCCACGATATAAAGGGCGGATGCCCTAGCTAGCGGCACCAGATAATGTGTTTTCTCTTACCCGAAATCCACCCTGACAAGGCTAGGCTAGCCTAGCCTAAGCCTAAGGCCCTTTTTTCACTAGATCCCCTGATTTACCTAATTTTATGTTGTGACTATTCATTCCTCATTTATTGCATGTGTATAAATAGGCCTTCATAAAACATTTAATTACTCACTTGTTTTAATAATTAATTCATTATTAAACCAGGGAGTTGTTATACGAACAATGCTCGATCGCGGATGCGATGAAAATTGCAACCACAACAAAAAAGTTACTGATTGGTCAATATTAGTCAGGGGCGGATCCAGAAATGTCCAAAAGGGGGGGCCGGAAGGGGGGGCCGAAAGTTGGGCCGATTGAGACACATCTAGATGTGTATAACAACACTGTCGTAGGGGGTCCGGGGGCATGCCCCGCGAAATTTTTGTGTTCTAGACGCCCGAACATAACATTTGAGGCATTCTTGGCCATCATTTTTTCCTTTTTCTCTCTTTTTTTCCTTTTTTTTTTTCTTTTTTTACCTCCCAAAAGGGGGGGCCGGGGCCGGGCCGGCCCCCCCCTAAATCCGCCCCTGATTGGGTAGTCGCCACTACGCCAAATTCAGAAATTGGCGTTGTCGCGGAAGCTGTCACAACGTCGATTAAGCCAGTAAGGTTTGTGAGCATGCGCAGATGTCTGTTACGCTGTATTAGTTCGTAGTAGACTGGCCGCGTAGTCAAAACGAAAAATGCCTATTATCTGACGTTTCTAAATCGTCGTCTACATCAAAATTACGCGCTTAGGTGATAATGTATTAAAATGAAATAGAGGGCGCAATTGCAATATCGTGAACGATATCATCATCATCATCATCATCATCATCATTATCCTAACCATCGTCAATAAAATCGGAGTACATCAAAAACAATTACGTATTTGCTAATACCAATAATGCTAAAGATTTATATAGCGCCAATTCCAATTACCCCTTGTCACTGGATAATATGCAACGGCAAACCAACATAAAGTGCAACCTTCCCAGCTCTATGAGGAGTATACATGTCATGCACACGTACAATCAATGCCACAACATTCTACCGGGTATTCATATCATGATACTTCTGGGTTGAGGGAGAAACATGGATAAAGTGTCTTGCCTTAGGACAATAGCGACTTGCACCTTGACGTTTTTGAACCACGACCTCAAGTTTTTACCAAATTGAATGAAGAGCATAAACACAGAAGAAACTAAAATACTTGCATTCCTTAATTATATTCAAATGACAGAGGCTATTTGTCTTTTGCAGACAACAATCATCCGACAAAAGATCCTTACTAAAGATGATGAACCCTTGCCGAGAGTGTGTAAGAAGGTACGGTGTTGATAATAAATACATTTTGTGTATTCATTTTGCATTTTTTTATGTTGACAATCTGAAAGCTATTGGATAACAATTTCTTATTGTAAAATATTCCAATTGTAATCTAAAATTTTTTCGTCATATGAAAAAAAAAATACAAACATCAAATAATTCAAACATCAAGTTGCATCGAGTCAAAAGCCAAATTAAAAAATTGCACCTTAAACATATAATCATTTGTAATAATATAAAAATGTTATTGTATTTATTTTTTTACATTACACCCTTCGAACAGAATGGTGGGGATGCCTAGATAACCCATTAAAGTACAAGACTTACTTTTTTCCAATGGAGTCTAACAAGCCACCACTTCAAATTGTCTGCAAAGAAGGTCATAAAAAGTACAAATAAGAAATTGATAAAAATGCACATGTGTATCCTATATGTTTCTCTACTTCAGGTACTTAATTTCCTCGAAATGGAATTAAAGGTCTTTTGTAAGAGTGGTGCAAGAGGAGTTGAAGTCACAAGGTACATTCGTTGTATTTGTAATAATGCTCACATGCATATCGTGCGAAAGTTTGATAAAAATGCTCTGCGATGCGGAAGCGATGGAATGGAAGTGGCACGCTACCGCCGATTATTTGAAGATGTGCCGCAGCAAGCAGGTAACACAATTTGTTCATATATATAACACAAATACGAGCTTATGAAACAGTTTAAGCTAATTAGCACTTCCATTGATATTTATATTAAATTCATATCTTTCATTAATTTTAATGTGCAGTAGAACCCCTCCTTTGGAACACTATTAAGGGGATGAGAACAGTTTGTAAGTGTGCCAAGTGGTCAAATCAATGCTGTGACTTATTTATATAAGGGGACAGTTAGTTGTATCACAACAATTACAGCAGTCTCATTATAAGAAAAAATAATCATTCAACTTTGATACCTTTGAACAAATTATTTCCTTTGTATAATTTAATTTTTACCATCATGGAATTTTTTTGTTGTTGTTTCCATACCATAACATGCACCCTCATTTCTAAGACGTTACTCTATTCATGCAACATGCATCAAATAGAAAGAACAATATTTTTAAACATACATGTTTGGTTATTAATATAGGAACATACAACTAAGTCTTAATTACATTTTTGTTGATTTCATATTAATAAATTATATTAGCATTGCAATTTATTGGTATAAATTAATTCCAATTCTACTATATTTCTTCTGTCAATAAATATAAAATTATGAAGAAGAATTTTATTTTTGTCCTCAGTCTATGAAAACATGCCGTTTGTTTGGTCCCAATGGTGCCTCCTTTATAGGGCTGCTGTAATAATAATAATAATAACATTTTATTCTTATATAGCGCATTATGCTAAAGCCTCAATGCGCTTAACAAAAAAAATAAAAATGCTAGGAGAAATTTAAGAAAAGTACATGTTAAAAAGGTGAGTTTTTAAAGCTGCCTTAAAACCAACAATGGAGGTTGCCTGTCGGATTGTAATAGGCAAAGCATTCCAAAGGAAGACAGAAGTCCAAGAAAAAGAACTATTGCCATAATGCTTTTTTGACGGGCGAATAGAATGAGCAAGTAGAGACTTTGAACTAGATCTCAGAGACCTCTTAGGAATATAAGGATGAATTAGTTGCGCAATAAACATTGGCGAAGAATAATGAAGAGATTTAAAAATAAACAAACAAAATAACTTTACAATTTACAGTATTAATCGTCATTACCATTCATCAACAATATATAGTACCTTAAACAAATGGTCCTATAGACTCTGCAATAAGAGTGAATAATTTATAGGCAGTCAAAAGAGCGCACTCATTTGTAATTTAAAATTGTTTTACATTGACATTTACTTTTATTATTTCTCAGCTCTGTCAGAGTCTCATCCACCAATCACTAAACCTGAAGGTAAGTTTACAGATTGAGGGATAAAAGAAAAGTGGTTTATAACATATTACAGAGGAAATATCACAAATGAAAATTGTGTGGGTATTGCATAATATGATAGAGGTATACGATTGTACAACTGACGAACGCAACTTGTAATTTGGAAAGAAAAAGTATCTCTATAATTAAACACACACACACACACACACACACATATAT